CACTTCACTGCTAGCTCTTCCCTTACACTACAAGTTTACTCTGATGTCGATTGGGGTGATGATCATGATAACCAATGATCTACGACTAGTTTTTATATCTCCCTCGATCATTCCCTTATCTCTTGGAGAAGTAAGAAGTAGACGTTAGCTTTTTACTCCAATGCTAAATCAGAATACCATGCACTAGCAAACACTACTACTAAGGTACTTTAGCTCCATTGGTTAGTTGATAAGTTAGGAACATCTCAGGGCTCCTCCACATGACATTTATTATGGTAGTCAAGCTATAATCAAAATTGATCATAATGATGTGTTTCATGAGTAAACCAAACACATTAAGATTGACTATCACTATACTCAGTAGCATGTTGTTCTAGGAATTATCTAACTTAATTTCAATTCGAACCAAGTATCAACCAACTTACTTGTTTACGAAGTCTTTTCATCCATGTCACTTTCAATTTCTGGTAGAGAAATTCAAGTTGCTCTCTATTAAGCCATCTTGAGTTTAAGGAGGGATGTTTTTTCTAATGTTTTAAAGATATATTACTATTTATTATGCCATTATTAAGAGATGTTATTTGCCATTATTAACAGATATTATTTGATAAGATATTATTGTAAATAGTTATTATTAGGTTATTTCTTCCTTCTTGTATATATTGTACTCATCGCAATAGTAATAGACATGACATTTTCCAATCTTCTCTAGTCTCTCTCTTATCTCTGATAGCTTTCACTTATATTGAAACAATATAGGGAAAATTGCTAATAATTAAGAAAGGACCCCAAATACACAAATAACTTGCTTTATGCAATTTAGTAGGTAACTCATAAGCAAGAAAAACTTAAATGGTGAACCATCCTAAACATGTTCATTTATAAAACATTAAATTAGCACAAATGTTGTTAAATTACTTAAACATGTATATTTACACCTTCTCATGCAATTTGGATAGAGATAAATTTCAAGACTACCTAACTAGAGAGGACAATGATAATAAAAAAAACTCCATAAATAAAGTAAATCCCAATTTAATCACCAAGTCTATACAGTGAAGATAGAGTGCTTTGGTCAAGTAAAAAACTAGAGAGCAAAAAGATAACCTAAATCTATGTGCAGAGGACAACAATGAAGTTTGATGAAAAGGAGGAGGAGGACATAAAGGCTGATCGAGGAGGAGGAGGCTTAGAAAGAGAAGGATGATCATGTGGAGGCTGAAGCCACGATGAGGGAGATGACAACTGAGATTGACAGACACATCAAAGACAACAAATGATTAACATGAGTGCTACACCATTGGGTTTTGAAGAGACACAATGGCGTGGGGTTTTGAAGAAGAAAAAGAAGACAATGAAGACAAAAAGTCACACATGTGATATTGTAAATCACTTTCTACATTGGGTATAGAGACACCCAATATAAGAAGTAACTATTTTTTTTATTTTTTTTAAAATAAAAGCACTTTCTACATCGAGTGTCCGCACCCAATGGAAAAAATACACATACTACATCGAGCATAGAGGCACTCAATGTAGAAAGTATTTTTACATCGGCTGCTAGGACACTCGATGTAAAAAGTCTAATGGTCAATGGCAAATATTATGAAAATGTCTCCGCCTGAACTTTTTACATTGTTTTTCCATTAATTGATGTAGAAAGTCCCCTATTAAAGCCTTATCTTGCATTAGTGAAATCTTAATAATTAAACACTCAGACCTCCATTTAGACTAATCCAAGTGTCCACATGCATGTAATTAAGTAAACTAGCAATTAACACCATTTCCATCTCAACCCAATGCCAAATAAGGTTCCTAGACCACTATGTGCCAACTTGAGTACTTAGACTCTTTACATAATACAAGGGTCTTCTTTCATATTACAATACATTCAAACTCTATTCTTTAATATATTGTACCATAAGCAAGTACCATATTAAACATAATATTTACACATTTGCCTAGTTGACCTTCCACTCAAAATATGAGGCCAACAACTAATAAAATTGCCTAAGTTAATATGTGGGCTCATATACAATTGAATCATTACCCTCACATATGCAAAAATATGCATTCACCCTAGAGTTAGCAAATTAGCATTTAATTACACAAGTGAAACTAGAGACTTTACAAATGAATCTCTAGTTCTTGGCCATTAATGCCTTCCCCCTTACCCTTTGACTTATTGTCCCTTAGTAACCATCAAGTAATGGGAGCGAAATTAAACAATCTCAATCACTAAGAAACTTAAAGAGAGCATATCAAAGTGTGGTAACTGCATACAAGGATAAATAATATCATATACAATTATATGGTCATACAAACCATAAATTATCATATGTTAATGTTTATGATTAATAAAACTACCTTATATCCCTCCTTATATTATCTAACCAAACCCATAGGCTATTAAACCATATAGGTCTAGTTCATGTGACTAAAACTAGACCCGACTCTCCAATTATGAGGGGTCATCTAGCCAAAAGCTCCTATACTCACTCTCGGACCAATGGGTTTCCCTTACTCAAATTTTAAGTTGTCATACATTGCCTGATCCACATTTCCAATCTAGAATTAATGATATTGAACACCATGCCTAACCCATGCCACAACTGTAGATTATTGGTAACGCTAAACATATTAGTAATCAAAGATGCCAACCACTGTGCACAAACTCAGTGAAGGCTACACTACGTGGATTTTCACTAAAATTGGCCTTCGACTAATGTAGGGTGAACTCCCACCAACCATGCTCATGCCAATTCAACATACATATGCAATTTACTCATGCATATTACCATAATCAGCTTACTCTAGCAACAAAACTTACATAACCAACTTTGTGCCAATAAATCAAGTTTTCTACTACATCATATCAACATATACAAATTGAACATGCTTTCTAGTACAATAACATCAGCAACCATTTATAACCAATCCAGGCATACTACTCACAATACAATTTCTATATAGTCAATAGCAATACAATTATCAAACAAGCCTCATAATTAAGCATATCATAATTTGTACAGCATGCTCAAGGTCATATTATAATAGCAAATCCATGCCAAACATCCCGTATCATTAATTACATATTAGACTACTTATACTCGCAAAAGTTCTATGCAATGATAAGATTCCTGATTACCTCTACTCCTAAGTTTACCACCCCAAGAGTATGGCTTTAGATTTTAAAGGGAGCCTCACACCAAAATAGCATTAATGACTATTTGTCATTAATTAACCCTTAATCATGATTAAGGCTTAATTGCCACTAAGCATAAATAAGTCAATCTCAACCCAAAACTAACTTCCCTTAACTTATTCAACCTTTAATGAGTCTAATAAGCATTGCCAATAATTCTCATTCACTTAAACTCAATTCCTTAGTATTAGGATTAACTCTAAACCCATCATTAATGGCTTAAATGCTACCAACTATTTAAACTTGATGCTAGAGGCATTTATTAGCCTCCACAGACGTCATTAAAGTCATAGGAATTGTTGTAATTAAAACTTAAGTTTGAATTACCATCGCAACTCCTAAAACATGCAGCAAAGACAAGAAAAAGATAAATTAAGGGATGAGGAAGCTTACTCAAGGACTTGTATGCTTCAAAACACTTATAGGATCCACCAAAACAAAATCCTAGCAGAACTCCTCATTTTCTCACAGCCAAAGACCCTCAAAAACTTACTCCTAAATGAAATCAAATTGCATTTTGTGATCTTTAAAATTCTAGCACCCTTGCAGCAAACAGTCGAAAATGGGTAGCTTCTCTAATCCCAAGAACATAGGCATCTGGCCCAATAACCTCTAAAACCCTAATTTGAACCTTCTTAGGGGCTCAATAGGCCTAAATGGTCTTTCTAGCCCAATTCATTAACCCCTTATCAATCCAACTAATTAATCAAAGCCTCTAATTAATTAATTTAATTCTTAATTAAATTTTGACATGTTACAGCTTCTCTACTTCTAGTCAATAATAAACCTCTCAATGGTCAGCAGGAAGTTTAGCATCAACTAAGTATTTAAGACTAAATTAAGATAAATTTTTAGTGAATAATGTTCCAATATAGTTGAAGACAATTATTTATATACATAAGCATTGAATGTATGAGCTCTAGTAACAACTAATAGAGATTTTTTAAATTTGAACATAAACTTTAAACACGTAGAAATTATGTAACTCAATAAAATCCAAATAAGATATAAATAACTTTTTACATTACAAGATCAAATTAAGAAAAACAAGCTTCAAAACTCATTCTTCAGTAGGACATAATCATAATGATCAACAAGCATAGACACAAAGTCCACAAGGATAAATAATCAACAAGTATGGATACACAATCTATGAGGATAAGTAATTAGTCAATTGTGGATAAAAGCCACAAAACAAGCATGATAGGAGTCACAAATAAGTGCAACCATAAAGCCCACAAATTACAAGTGTGAGTACTAAGCTAACGAATAACAAGCATGAATGTGATGCTCATGATTAGCAAGCTAGCTAGAACATAACCATGCACATGAAGGGTTAATGAGATTGTCATTAACAACCAACATTTTGAAATCAGTCCCTCAATTTAAACCAAGTGCATAGGTCTAAAAAGAAAATCAATATTTTATCTTTTCACATTATAGTCATCACAAAAAATTTTCAAACAATCTTCCATGCATGAGTTATAATGATAAATCATTTCTTAAACTGTAAAGTCAACAATATCAATATAATAATTACTTACGGATACTCACTTGAAAAATAACTTCAACTCTTCTATAAAATTATAAAATTATAATTTATATTTTTGTTATATTTATTTTATATACAAATTTAATATTATTATTTTTTTAAATTTTATTATTTTTAAAAGGTGAAGAAAACATTACTCATCTGACAATAGTTTAGGAGTAAAATTGCATCTTAACTCATGAAAAGTGAGTCCCACTAGCTACGGCAACGGTCGGTTAAATGACAGAAGCAACATTGTTCCGATTTAATTAATTTAAGGCAACATTACTATGATAAGTATTTTAAAGGCAACATTGCTTCTCCAAGAATAGTGTAGGGACAAAATTGTACAAGAGATTACTTTCATTCCTTCCCCTTTGTACATTACTATTGAATGTACTGTAGTTGTCAACCCTTGCTAGTTTGCAATGTGTGCTAGACCGTTCAGTTATGCATCCTTCAGCAAATGCACAAATCGAATGGCAACTCAGAAGTTTTCCAGTGACATTAAGTATTCATGCACCAAGTACTATGCCGTCCCATAATGGAATTGCTGAAGAACTGCTACCAATATCTTGTTCCACTTTGTCTACATTGTTTTCAAATGATATAGATCGATCTCTAAATGATATAGAAACAAAAGACGATGAACCCTCCGTTCGTTCGCCTTCCACTAGCACCAGGCCAAGTAAAGAGACGCAGAAAGTATTGAAAGCACTGAAAGACTTGCTGTTCAAGATTTTTCTTTATTATTGTATCTGGGAAGCTGCAGCACCATGAAAACCTCCCAAGGATTACCTCTCCAATTTGTCATTAAAACTAAGAAATTTCAAGAGAATTCAATCAATGGATAAGGGACTGACATGTTACATGTAGATAAATAAACCCTACTATTTGTAAGTAGAAGATTTCGAAGTTGATTTGAAGAGGAGTGGTAAAAGGTGTTGACCGTTTTAGAAGAGAACCTCAATCCATGGCAAAGGCTTTTATGAGAAAGAGAAGAGGCATTGAAAGCTCAAAAAGTCGAGGGAACTAGTGCCATCCTGGAAACATGAGATAGAATCCACAAATGAAACCCAATCAAATATCAGATTGTATGGTCAAAATCAGGAGAAAAGTTTCTAAATAGGTGTGTATTCTTTTTTTGTGTTTCTTATTTATGCTACTGATTTTCATTTTGGATCTTTACCTTGGTTGATCTTAACCCAATCCAACTTTACATTTTGTTTATTGATTATCAAGAATGAAGCAAAGCTTGAGTATTGTTTGACTTTTTTGTGTTTAGTTGAATGACTTGCTAAATATGTTGGGATGAAATTGGAATGTCATGTCCTAAAATTTTGACATGACTGACATGAAATATATGTATAAATTCACATCCTTAAAGCTTCAATTAAGAAAACTTCTAAATTAATGTATTAAGTTTTACTTTTTACATAAATCAAAACATCAAACTTTTTATAAAATTTCTGCAACAAATAATTAACATAACAAAAAGAGGCAGCACGCTAACTATAGTTAATATGGAGCTCTCTAAATTGGACTTCCAAAAGATACTATATATGTTTTTGAGTTTTACATGAATAAGATGAAATTCTCAAAAATAATCTTCTAGTCAATTCGATAATAAGCCCATTAGAGATTAGCAAGGAGTACGAAATCAGCTTTGGTATTTGAGACCAAATAAAATATTTTTCAGTGAATAATGTTCCAAAAATAAATAATCGAACATGATTAAAAAGGAAAGTTTGAAATAATTATGTAAGTCAAATAAACAACATTTTCCATAAAAATTTAATAAACTTCAAAATAAAATGACTCTATAAAATTTTAAAAAATTCTTAAATTATTAAACTATCATAACAAATGTTTTTATCACTTAATTTTCAGAAAACACATAAATGAAGTAAATGGTTGTAAATAATTTACTAAATAAAAACTAATGGAATATAAAATCACCAAATAATCAAATTCACAAATTTTTAGGGACTTATTAGAACAATAAACAAACATTGACATACAGTCCACGAGAGTAAATAACCGAATGTGGCTTATACCACGAATACAAACTTGGACACTCAGTCCACGAGAATAAATAACCAAACATAGTCAAAGCTATGAAACAAACGTGGACACAGTCTATGAGGGCAATACTAATTAAACATGGCTTGAAGCCATGAAACAAGTGTGAGTATGATGCTTAAGAATAACCATCCCTCCGTTCCACGTGTATTAGCCATCGCACAGGGCTAGCATCTCCTATAAACACCCTGCTAACTAGGTGTATCATGGCGCGCTAAGGGCTAACGGAACTGCCGTTAGCAACCAGTGTTCTATATAAAGTCCCTTTCAAATTCAATTACAAACATGCGAGGAATTGATCATTATTCAATCAAATTTTCCTTTTCAATGTCGAACTCACATGAATTGTTTTTCTATAGCAATTCAATAATTTCCAAAATAAAATCCCACAATTAGAATTCAAACTTGTATTTACTGATTAACTAAAATGATCAATTCTGGTAAAATAATTTCATGAAATCAAGTAATTTAACCAATAAAATATCTCACAATCACATTGTTGTCGTAAAAAAAGAATTTGCATAATAAAAGAGATTTTAATGAAATATCAGTTGGGACGCTATCCACTTACCTGTAGTATTCCCAAGAGCAAAATTCACTCTTAAAATCTTCAATCCTCCCTTACTACCTCAATCGAGATTTTCTTTCTCCAAATCTCCTATTCAATAGTACAAAATTTTAGTGACCTTTATCCATGTTTAATAAACCCCCTTCCCATAACAACGCTATAATCATTAAGTTCTTAAATTAATTCGATATATAACTAAAGTCCTTCAATCCTTACAATACATACATACATATATATATATATATATATATATCCAAAGCTTTGTCAATATCAGACTTATCTTCCCAACTTGCCTCAAGCACAAGTAACTAAATTTTATTTAAAGTGTATACATTACAAGCGTGCACACCCAAACTCTTAATTTAAAAAGAAAGAAAAATACTTCTATAACTCACTTTGTCAAACACCATAATTTATAAATTATCAACAATGCCATTTTCAAAATTCAGTTAACCATCCAATAACTACATAATCAAATTCTCCACAAGGCTAAGTTGACTTAATCAAAGCCCATATCAAATGCATCATCACAAGAATTAATAAAATTCATAAATCTCATTATTAGATAAAACTCTTTCAAGTAGACATTTTTGTCAAACACCTTTTATGTATTATTTCTTGAACTCAAATCAAATATTTTCTCCTTGATTCCAACTCCCAAAAATTTTACAAAATAAATATTTGAATAAACCAACTGTAATGACCAGGAAAAATAATAATAATAAAATAAAATTAATTAAATTATTAAAAGGTGTTTAAAGTTTATTTTTATTATTTTTATCATTTTTAGAGCAAATATATCAAGGAGAAATTGAGGTTTAGTGGACTTTATGCAAACTACATTATTGATAGGTCCTAAATTTGAATTTTTATGAGGCCAAGAGTGGGATTTTTCCTTTTAGCTTTAACTTAAGGCAAAATTATGAAAATGCCCTTATGTTAAATTAAATAAATAGAGAAAGAGATAAGGAGCAGAGCACGTTTTCTTTCATTTGGGATCAGATTCAAGAACCATCGAGAGAGAGAGAGAGAGAGAGAGAGAGAGAGAGAGAGAGAGAGAGAGAAAGTCATAGATCAGCTGAACTGGAGTCATCTCTTCCGTCTCTGTCGTCTTCTTCCTCCTTCATCATCTTCAACGTCGCTGGAGGTGTGTGTGCTGCTACCGTCCGCTCAGCCTGCAGCAGCTTCTTTCTCCTCTGTTTCTCGTCATCGAGCTCTCATCCTTTCTTCTCCATTCTGTCCGATCGAAGGTGGTAAGCATGTTAAAAACTGGGCTGTTGTTGGAGATCCGACAATGTTGCTGCTGTTCTGGGGATCGTGGAAGCTACCAATCCCTTCTCCTCCTCATTTACGTGCCATCGTTCGAGTTCTTTTTCTGTTCAGTATGCTGATTCTTCTTCCTTCTTGCTCTGTTCATCCACTTGATATCTTGGTTCTTTGCTTTGTCACGTTGAGTGAGTGAGTTGAGATGCTTCAATCCTTCTTATGATCTTTGCTGTGGCTGTCACATTCCTTGCCCTGTTTTGTCGTGAGATATGTGGAGGAGGAGAATTTATTTAATTTATTAAATTATTAAATAATTTATTTATTTTTCTTTCTTTTAGTTAAGATCAATTTGAGGAAATGGAATTTAGGAAGCTGATTATTTATATATTTATGTTAAAGAAGTTTTGTGAAGATGAAATAAAAGAGGAAGAAGTTGGTTTGAGTTCAAGTGTGAAGGCACAAAAGGTGCTTGACAAAAGAATTGTTAGGAGGAGTTTGCTTAATTTTGTATTTTTTAAAGTTCATTAATCCTTGTGAAAAACATGTTTAATTTAGGTGTTATTGATTCATGAATTTAACTTGTAGATTGCAAATTAAAGGAATTTGATTATGAACTCATATGAATTCATATGTAACTAGTTAAACTCCTGAAGATAGTATGGTTATGGATAAATTGTTGGATAAATGCTGGAAGATTAGGAAAAATTTTAATTGCATGGTTGGAATAATGCGCCTAAAGTGTTTGATGCAAAGATTTAGAGAAAATTTTATCTCAAGTAAAGTACATTAAGATCTTATTTATTATAGGGTGATTGCGAGAAGGGTAGCTCGATTGGAGTTGGAAGAAGTGAGTTTTGAACTTGGAAAGCACTACAGGTAAATGGATAGCATCCCAACTGATTTTTTTCAATCAAAATTTCCTTTACTAAAATATTACGTTTTTTTGAAAATTATTTTAATAGCATTAATGCAATTATTAGATATTTGTTGATTAATATTACTTTATTTTGAGAAATTAGCTTTACCAAATCTGAAATGTTATTTGATCAACTAAATCAAGTTTAAACTTTGATTATGAAATTTTTATTTTATTAAATATTAGATTGATATAGAGAATGATTTATGTGAGTTCGACGTTGAAAATTATTTTTTATTCAATAAATGCAAATATGAGCATTGGATATGAAGTTTTATTCTGACAAGTTTTAATGCTTAAAAGTATTCATGCGAGTTTGATTTTGAGAATAAGAATTGTATCTTGAAAGTGATAATTTTCTCGCATGTTTGAAAATGGTAAAAAAAAAAAGACTTTTTTATACAGAACACTAGTTGCTAACGGCAATTTTGTTAGCCCTTGACGCGCCATGGTACACCTAGCTAGCAGGGTGTTTATAAAAGGTACTAACCCCGTGCGATGGCCAACGCACGTGGAACGGAGGGATGGTCATTCGTGGGCTTTGAACCCGCGTTTGATTTCGTGGCTTCAAGCCGAATTTGGTTAGCATTACCTTCGTGGACTATGTGTCCACATTTGTATTCGTAGCTTCGGCTGCGTTTGGTTACTTGCCCTCGTGGATTGTGTGTTCACATTTGTATTCGTGGCATAAGCCGCGTTCGGTTATTTGCCTTCGTGGACTGTGTGTCCACGTTTGTTTATTGTTCTTAAGTCCCTAAAAAAATTTGTGAATTTGACTATTTGGTGATTTTATATTTCATTAGTTTTTATCTAGTAAATTATTTACAACCATTTATTTCATTTATGTGCTTTCTGAAAATCAAGTGATAAAAGTATGTGTTATGATATTTCGATGGTTTAAGATTTTATTTAAAAATTTTATAGTCATTTTGTTTTGAAGTTTATTAAATTTTTATGAAAAATTGTTGTCTATTTAACTTACATGATTATTTCAAACTTTTTTTTTATTCATGTTAAATTATTTATTGTTAGGACGTTATTCACTGAAAAATTATTTTGATCTCAGATAGCATAATTGACGTTGTACCTCTTGCTAACCAATGATGGTTGTTTGCAGAACAGAATGGAGGTTGGTTCTATAAATATGTTTTATTGATGTAAATATGAAATTTATGTATTATGTCATGAGATATATAATTAGGTGCTCCACATAACTTATAAATTAGAGTCCTTAATTTATTATACATTGTGTCTGCTGACTGGAAGGAGCTGAGCTCCTAATTGATACAATGTTTAAGGAAAAAAAATTTTGTGATGCAGAATTTAGGAGATTTTATTCACAAAGAAGGTTCTGTCAAAATTTTTACAAAATGTTGAATTAATTATTATAATGATTATTATAAATAGTATTAAAAAGGTCAGTGTAAAGCTAAGTACATTTTAGTCAAATGAAATAAAACTTGAATTTGTAACTTACAGAATGTGTGATGTTGTTCACATCCTGTACCGATCACCCTTTATTTTTGGAACGTGACACCAACCTTCCAAATTCTATAAAAATAACTGTCTTTTACTGATAGTTTATTTAATCAAGCAACAATATTATCATATATATATATATATATATATATATATCATATCCTTATAGAACAAGACTCCGTCTTAATCATTTTATTGAACATCAATCTCTTACTAAGTTTTTTTTTTCTTATTCAATTCTAATTTTCATTTTTTTTCTTATTCAATTCTAATTTTCAAAAATTTCTCAATATCAATCGTTGAATGATTCTACTTCTAAACAACTAAACCCATTTTGTTATTGTTATATATATATATATATATTAAACAGCTCCAAAGTATTTAAATCATAAACACCTACTTAAGGATTGAAAAAAAATTCATTCCAGCTTTTTTAAATTTCACCCAAGTTATCTCCTATTTACATGATAGTCACAAATAAAGAGGAGTTTAAAACCCCAAATCAGCAACGCAAGACAAGAAGATTTGCAGTCTCAGCCACTACAGCATACACTCGCATGAAACCAACAATAGAAATGGATTCAACGTTCCTCACCTGAAGCAACAATGACACAAGCACAGAAGAAAAAAACAAGAGATTTGCGACTCAGATCCATAATGGCAAAAGCTGGAAGAAGGAGGTGCTGCTGTTCGAACTAGGAAGATGAAAATAAACGTTACGGGTGACGTATGAAGCAAGGAAAATAGTGGAGGAGATCGACAGCATCGACCCCCATAATGGCACACCAACAGAGAAGCAAGCGAGAATGAACGAACTCAGATCAAAGCAACGGCAGAACATCAACATACTCTTACCCGCGACGGTTAAAACCATGAAGGAAGATCCGTCGAGTGAACGGCGACTTGTTATCATTGTGCTCTCTCACTCAATCTCTTTCTCGTTCGACTGGACCTGAATAGGGAAGGAAAGTAGAGAACAGATGATGAAGGCAGAGTTCGAAGCTTCTAGCGACACTTCTACTAACTAGAACACACGAGCATATTAGGAGAGAAGAAATATCTAATGGGTTAGGAAAGGGGTAATATCGTAATTTCGTTCAGGTTGAAAATGAGATAGAAAAAAATAAAACCTCTATATATTTTTTTTATCTCCAAGAGGACCTCAATGTAAATAACCAAAATTATTTCTACTGAGCCACCAAATTACTTTTAATAAAACTATCCTCCAAAATTAATAAAACTATAATCAAAAAATGTTTTTATAATAATAGACAAGGACACATTCAGTAACCCGCCCATATAAAATAAAACTAACATATTTGACTTAAATAAAATTTAAACTCTAAACTTTCATATAAGTAACCAATATGAATTCAACCAAGTCACTACATCTTCATTTGTCAAAATTAAAATAATTAAAATTAAATATTAATTGAGATAGAATTTATTTAAGTTTAAATTTAATATCATTATACTCTTACTAGACTAACATTGCTTCATGATAAAATATTGTTAAAATTAATACAAATACAATTAAAACTTATTATTATATATTTTAAATTTTTACTTAAAATTCCTAAGTTATTACATTCCTCCCTCCTTTAGAAATTCAATCCTCCAAATTTAAACATGAACTCATCTCAATCTTGATATAAATGCAAATATTTAGTATGCATACCACTTTCAACTTTCTTAGTAGCTGCCCCTTGAAAATGATTGCACTAGAACACCCTCACCAACGCAATTTCTTTCAATTGTAACTTCTTTACTTACTTATATAGAATGATAACAAAACTTCTTCATACATTAAATCTAGATCTATCTAAATCCCTTGAGTCCCAATCACATGAGAAAAGTCATACAAATATTTTCTAAAATTATAAAAACTAGCTTGATCCCTTATTACACATCCTTTCCACTAAAGTCAAGACATTACTCTAACTTTCACCAAGAGCCAAAATATAAGGTCTTAGCATAACATTTACAGCTCAAATTGTTCTTTCATATTGATCCATAATTTGTAATAGTACCCAAAGCTTCTTGAAAGGTTTATCAAAAGCATAAAGTAACTTATAGTTCTTAATCCGTAGTTAAGATGATGAAACTCCATGCAATTCTGCAAACTCTTCTGATCACTATTGCAATTATACCAATTCCTAATAATTTGGCTTAACTTCTACACAACCTAAAGAGCATGGGAATAAACTCATTATTATGCCCTTCTTCACATCATTCTTTCAATATGATATTTGATCAAATTTTTTCCCTTTGGCACACCCTCAACTTGAGACATGCATATCATTGTCATATTTAAACACTTCTTCTTATTAATAAGAAATTTATCATCATTATACTTTCTACTACTAAGAACAACTTGCATACAAATACTACTCTTCAAGTAAGTGTGGTATCCAGCATAAACAGTGTTGATGTTCTAAACTTTTTTTTTAAATACATCAAAATCCCATCAACCTATTCCATCATAAACTCATCAAAGAATAATCTAAATATCATATCCATTTAATTTAAAACATTATAACTCTTGCTCTTACTCACATATCTTTTGTTATTTTACCCACTTGCTTTGTCTCCACCACTAACCACCAAAAATCATTTCAAGTCACTTGGAATGTTCAAAACATCATATAAGTAACTAATATAATTGGTTAAGAATAATAAACCTTAATTCCTCTTCATCTAGTTTAGCATGTTATGAACATATAATTGATTCTAAACTTTAGATAACCATAACTTGAACTAGGAAGATCTAACATTACAAATAAAATCAAACCAATTCTATATTCAAAGCACTATCTATTATCCTAACTCACCATTCTCATAACAACTTTAATTCCAAGGTAATTAAGCTCATAAGCATAATGAGTTCTTTCTTCCTTTTTCTATTCCTATTTTTTATGCACTTCAAGATTCAAGTTAAACTAGCAATCTTTACAATTTTTCCTTAATACTTGCCAATACATATCTATGAGTTTTTAAGCAAATTCTTTAATTTTTGTAGCTTCATCCTAGAAAATAGTTAACTCTTATTTCTTAAGGTATTTAGCAATACCTTTATCACGCTTAGTTGTCTTAATAGATCAAATATTCTTCTCTCACTTATTTCCTCAAACATTTGGCATGCAACTTAAAAACCCAACTATAAATTAATTTATAGTTCTCAATATACAAGTCAAGAAATACCTCCAACCACTAACATAAAATCACAAGAGTTCCTAAACTCCAATTCTTAGCATATATAGTATATAATCATAGAGGAGGACTCAAGTTCCTTTCATTCCTCTTACTACAACTAGAATATATATATATATATATATATATATTATTTTGGATAATAATACTTTTTAAAAGCTCCTTCCTTCTTTCTTTTCCCTCACTTACTTTCCACCTCATTCCTTGCCTTATCTAGATGAAGCTATAAGAGCAAATAGAAAGAACAGAGACCAATTCGCACACCAAGACATCACACAAACGATGACATTTAAGGCAAAAAGATAAGATAACAATTCTGATAAATAACACCCACATAAACGCACAAAGAAAGATAAAACTTTGACCTAACCACCATCCATTTGGCCCACCATAAAACAAGGGAAAAGCTAGAGTCGAGATGTAACACACTCAATTATTTTTTATAAAAACGAACTAATTGATTTGTAAAGCTATTCTTCCAAACATAAATTGTGATAATTTCTAAACAAACCTTTTGCCTTTTCTTTCTTGAGTAAATGTTGTATTTCTATATTAGTTTGAGAAGGGATCCTTTTGCACTTTCAAAATAAACCTCTATTAAGAGTCTTAGAGCTTTACCACTTCGATTATGCCTTTATGGCACTTGGATCTTAAGTGTACCTTGATCTCTAAAATAAATTCGCAAAAATCATTAAACTCAACAAAATTTATAACATACAGAAGAATACGAGCTTCGAAATTAATAGCATGTTGCTATATTAACGACAAACTCTATTGAAACCATCTTGCTATATGTCCTTCTACTTGACACTTAGCATCTAGGATACAATGTCACTACGCAAGGAAAACATAAGATATAGTCAATCTAATAGATAGAACTCATGGAATAGACATGACCACTAAAAAAAGAGACACAACAAAACTCCTAAAAGGCCTTCAATGATGCCTCAATTATGATTATGCTCAGGTTCATAATTATAATTGAGACCCTACCGAAGAACACTCGCTCCACATAATTATAGGAAACTTAAGCTCTAATACCAAATCTGTCATATCCTAAAATTTTAACATGACTAACATGAAAAAGAAAAGTTCTAAATTAATGTATTAAGTTTTACTTTTCACATAAATCAAAACATCAAACTTTTTATAAAATTTCTGCACAATAATAACATAACAAAAAGAGGCAGGACCCTAACTATAGTTAATGTAGAGCTCTCTAAATCGAACTTCCAAAAGATACTATATATTTTTTGAGTTTTACATGATAAGATGATATTCTCAAAAATAATGTTCTAGTCAATTGATAATGAGCTCATTAGAGATCAACAGGGAGTATGAAATCAGCTTTGGTATCTGAGACCAAATAAATATTTTCAGTGAATAACATCCCAACAAATAATCAAACATGATTAAAAGGAAAGTTTGAAATAATTAGGTAAGTCAAATAGACAACAGTTTTCATAAAAATTTAATAAACTTCATAATAAAATGACTTTATAAAATTTAAAAAATTCTTAATCATAAACTATCATAACAAATGTTTTTGTCACTTGATTTTTAGAAAAACATAAATGAAATAAATGGTTGTAAATAATTTACTAAATAAAAACTAATGGAATATAAAATCAC